TCGGAAGAGTGGGAGCGGGACCGAGAAGCGCCGATTCGCGATAGGGAGAGCGGGAGCGGGAGTTGGCGCCGATTCGCAACGCGGTCTCTAGCACTCTTCATTGCTCTCTCTTCTTCTCTCTCTGTTCTTCTTTCTACACTGAGATGCACTGAATAAACTCTACATCGAAATACACCGAAGAAGATAAACTTACAAGAGAAGTAAACCCAATTTCTCTACCACAAGCCACCAAGAAGAAGTCAAGGGAGAAAAATCTTATTCTTCTTCCTTCTTCCTTCTTCCTTCTTCCTTCTTTCTTCTTCCTTCTTCCTTCACTGTAAGGAACTACTTCTTGCACTTGCTTTCCGAGAAGCGCCGATTTGCGATCGGGAGAGCGGGAGCGGGAGTTGGCACCGATTCGCAACGCGGTCTCTAGCACTAACAATCTCCCACTTGGAGACTGATACACCTGCTACAACATCTCCTTTCTCAAACTGACATCTTCCACCGACGGTGTCGCCCTTTTCTTCAAACATGAATCCTTTACCATGAATCCTCCAACTTGAATCCTTTACCTTCAATCCTCTTCCAACGCTTAACAATCTCCCACTTGGAGACTGATACACCTGCTACAACATCTCCTTCCTCAAACTGACATCTTCCACCGGCGGTCGCCCTTTTCTTCAAACATGAATCCTTTACCATGAATCCTTTACCTTCAATCCTCCATCTCTGCAACTTAAAGCCCCGTCTTCACTCCAGAAGACCAACTGAAGCTGTACATAACTTCAGTTTCTCAAGAGTAACACTCTCAATCAACATATCAGCAGGGTCTAAATAACCTCACACCTCCAAGCTATTTCCTGATTTACTATTGTCTCTGCTTACAACTCCCACTATATGGGCAATATCATGCCTCTGTTGAAACCCTTTTTCAACAAGTTTATCCTTGTAACTCTTACTGCCATCATGATCAGTCTTCACCTGGTACACCCACTTGTGTAATTCCTTATTCTCTGGTGAAAGTTCTGTCAGCTCCCACTTGATCGAACTTTCATCTTGCAAGATTTCTTCATAAATTTGTGGTTCTCTACCATCTGTCTGCGGAACAATAGGAATGGGTGCCCGAAACCCACTATTCTCTTCACTTCCATCATCAACAGAACTATGAACTGCCAGCAACATTACATCGTATACTTCTTCAGATATTACATTTGCGCTATCATTCTCCATCTTCTTGGATTTCTGCAGTTCTTCCTTATGTGACCAACCTTGGCACAATTTCAGCAGGTTATCTGCTGACCAGACTTTGATTTTGATCTCTCTCTATTTGAGTTTCTGTAATGTCATCTCCCTCTGAAATCAACATTCAGTGCCAAAATCAAACCTGAGATTTTGCCAGAATCCTTTCTGTGGACCTCCTCAGCCAAAATCAACTCACAATTATCATCACATTTTAGTTTAGATTTACCTGCAGGACCGCTAACTGCCATCCTCATAGCTTCCCAATTATTTGACAATGATGCCAACAAGATCAGCGTATGTATCTCATCATCAAAATCAATTTCAATAGACGACAATTGATTTGTGATAGTATTGAAATCATTCAGGTGTTGAACATTAGAAACATCTTCCACCATTTTCAAGTTGAATAACTTCTTCATCAAGTACACATTGTTATTCGCACATTGTTATTCGTCGATGACTTGTCATATATACCTGATAAGGCTCCCATGAGATCTGCAGTCGTCCTCTCTTTGATGACGTGTGCAACAAACCTTAATAGGGTCAAATTGAATAAACAAATTCCACCATCTTCAAGTTATCAAGTACACATTGTTATTCGCCGATAACTTTTCATACATACCTGATAAGACTCCCATGAGATATGTAGTCGTCCTCTCTTTGAAGACGTTGTGTGCAACGAGCCTCGATAGGGTCAATCGAATAATCCCAAGAACTTATCGATCCAACAAATTCCATTCGGCCTCATCCATTCTTTCAACATGGGCAATATCATGCCTCTGTTGAAACCCTTTTTCAACAAGTCTATCCTTGTAACTCTTACTGCCATCATGATCAGTCTTCACCTGGTACACCCACTTGTGTAATTCCTTATTCTCTGGTGAAAGTTCTGTCAGCTCCCACTTGATCGAACTTTCATCTTGCAAGATTTCTTCATAAATTTGTGGTTCTCTACCATCTGTCTGCGGAACAATAGGAATGGGTGCCCGAAACCCACTATTCTCTTCACTTCCATCATCAACAGAACTATGAACTGCCAGCAACATTACATCGTATACTTCTTCAGATATTACATTTGCGCTATCATTCTCCATCTTCTTGGATTTCTGCAGTTCTTCCTTATGTGACCAACCTTGGCACAATTTCAGCAGGTTATCTGCTGACCAGACTTTGATTTTGATCTTTCTTTATTTGAGTTTCTGTAATGTCATCTCCCTC